TATAAGCACACATGAAGAAAAACGTTTACCTGCATGACATCAAGCCTAGATTGACATGCAATAATGCTTGCTACATAGCTGAACACCAGCAGCAGCATTATAGTCAGAGTAAAWAGTGCATTCAGTCCTTGAAATATTCTGCGAAACTTTCGAGATTCACGAAACAATGGTCTCCAACCAATCTATTGAATAAAGAGAAAAGAGTAGACAATTAACTAAAAATTACTAGTAATATTTACGAAATCAGTTACAGTAACATTGTTTTTATCCTTCATCATAATTTTGTTGGTCTGTTTTAGGGGTCAACATATTTCCAAGATGGTATCTTTTTTGTCCATCTCAGCAGGTACCTAACAAACATCCTCAGAGGTACTGGCTTACTACATATCTAGCTGGTGGGCTTTTAGATTTATGACACCCTATGAAGTGTCAAAYCCCAGATCTGAAACCCTAAAAGGTCTGCATCCTCACCCTTTTCTAAATTATTAAAGTTGTCCCYCCCTGGAAATTTACTCAGATACAGACCGTGTGTATGCATGCTTTCAAATAAAATCTCTTTTTAGTCACCTGTATGTGTAGGCATAGCATATAATAGATACCTCTGGAGTATAGCACAATGGTATAGTACATAATATACAATATTGCAACAAAATAATATTATAGTATAGTAACTTACTATTGACAGCATAAAGAAATAAGGAGCCATCACTTGTCTGTTGCACATATGAAGTACTGCCGAGGTTGGATTGAAAACAGATCCTTTCTGGGCTGAACCATCCCTGATCTGTCAAAACGATACACAACAATCTAGATTGTAAAAATTATCATAGCTTGGGCATTCAATAATACAGATTGAACACCTGCTTGGCTTGGTTTGGCACATGGTTTCAAGCCTAGCTTGGCCGGTCCAATACTCTGAGTCTTAAAATATCTGAGTTGAAGGTGCTAGTTAACCTTTGCTTTAAAAATATTTGGAAATGGTATGGTGAGACGGCTTTACTATTCCTCAGAAGTGGCCCACGCCACGAGAAGTGCTTTTTATTAGTTGGGACCGCCAATGTAACATTCACCCTACTTCCAACCAACCAAATCCCCTTCACTTAATGACAAATGGTGCTACTTTTAGCTGTACTGCAGCTGTAACATAGCCCTGACTTYTCCTTTGTGATTGTGTAAAATACAGGAAGACAATGGAGACCATTTCTATGTTACGTCATGTCATATACTATGTACATGTTGTAAATTCAGTACCATATACATACAGTTCCAACTGATAAAAACACTGCTCTGTTTTTTTATTTATTTTTTATCATTGTTATTGCTGTCGTCATTATCTAATTCTTACGATTATATTGTCTAAAAATCCTTAAATGTTGTCATGCATGTCTGTGACACAATTGTTTAAATGCCAAAAAAGCCAAATTAATATGTAACCTATCACACATTTAAAAATAGATTCATTCGATTCCAATTATCAAAACAATAGGCGATAGTAAAGTGAGATATCAATGAGTATAATGCTATCATTCAATCACACGTACCTCTATAGGTATCGAACTGTCCCATAGCTCAGCAAACGATGATCGAGAACTGCTACACGTATTTTCTAACTCGTTTATCTGTGGTTCTTGTCTGTTGACACTTTGGCTCAACATCATTCGAGGAACAAATCTGGATAAGATATTTCTTCTTGATCTTTGCTAAACATTCATACGAGATCATCGTTAAATAAACTAACGTTAAAGAGTATATTTCTCAACAGGAGAGTGTGTATTCGATTGTTTTTTCTGTATAATACTCACTGATGATGGTGAATCTGTGTCATCCCGTCCAGACAGACCCGACATCCTTTAGGACGCACTAACACACAGGCCACCCATAACAACATTCTTCCTTACTGGCTGGTTCCCCCTTCTTTATAAAGAGGCTGTATACCTTAAAATAAATTAATCACAAAACTTTACAAGAAAGCGTTTTTCATACAGTATTTAACGCTGTTTTATAATAAGGAAAGAAAATTGGGGAGTCTCTAGCTTGTTCTCGAAATGCTAATGTTAATAGCAAGAAGAATGAAGGAAGAGTGATCTCTTGCGAAACGTCTGACTAAATTCTGCTTTTGACTCTGTTATCTGGTATCTCGTTGACATTTAGAAATTTTAATAATAAGAATTTGACTGAAGTGAATTGGATGGACGAATACGAATAAAAATGTAACTGAAACGGATTGGATATGCGGTTGGAAATGCGCCTAGGAATAAGAATGTACCCTACCATTCACTGAGTCTAATAAAAAAAGGCGCTGCTTTTTTGATACGACACGAAATCAGAGGAGAAGGCAGAAGGCCTGCGCCCCCCTCCACCTCAAATATTGATTTCCTCTGTCCGTCCGTTGGTTGGTGGGTTGGTGGGTGGGTTGGTTGGTTGGTGGGTGAGTTGGTGGGTTGGTGGGTTGGTGGATTGGTGGATTGGTGGGTTGGTGGGTTGGTGGGTTGGTTGTCTTTATTAACTGAACCAATTCTTACCATGACCACTCCATTCAGCATGGATGACTCGTCAGATCTAGTGAAATGATGTTCAAAGGTGTANATCTGTGAGTTAGCCATGCCCTGACTTTGATCAGCCCAGAGGTTGTTTCAGGGTTCAATTTGTGAGTTAGCCATGCCCTGACTTAGATCAGCCCAGAGGTTGTTTCATGGTTATATATCAATCACACTGCTTTCTTCAGTGTTCGGTCTGTGAGTTAACTGTGCCCTGAATTTGATTAGCCCATGCAGAGGTTGCTTCAGGGTAGCAATCAAATTAGGCTTCTTTTTCTCTGGTATCTAATCAGAAATTTATCTAGTTCATACAACTAACATAGCGCTAGCCGCCAAACTATGCAATATTCTATACTGATTCTAAAGCCACTACATTGATTGTTGTACCTTAAGATAGCTGTCACTACCATAGTTTTCCCATGTACTTCCATCATCACTATACTTCACGGAATATTTTGTAACGCACTGAGCACCATTACTTCTTCCCTGGCTCGCAATCTTTGTAAGTCTCATTTTTTTCTTGAAGTCGATTTGAAGATATTGGCCATTAGATGGTGATAACGGTGCCCAGGCTGATGCATGGTTTAGACGGGCATACCATGGGTATGTAGAATCGGTAGCACTGTAGTAGGAAGATGCTGTCATCTGCGAATCTGTGATCCTGTTGTCTTCAAGTCCAACCGCACTATCGCACCCTACATGGTGGAAATAAATTTCATAATCTATATAAAATGAATGTGTTCGTTCGTTCGTTCGTTAGGTTGGTGGGTTGGTGGGTGGGTGGGTTGGTTGGTGGGTGGGTGGGTTGGTGGGTGGGTTGGCTATTTATATATGTACGTGTAGACCTGTAAAGGAGTATATTTTAAAGGGTCTTTGAAAAGATAGTGTGTTGTTCCAAAGCACATTGATGGGCGATAAGGGACGCTCATAAGAAACGAGCTACTGGATGTTAAACGATAAGAGCTGCGCGCTAGCCGTTTGGGATGGAGTTTCAAGGCAGATTGATTTAATTTTTGACGATTTCTCATTATGATTAACACAAATTCTAATCGATTCAAAGTATTCTTTCTTCGTAAAGCTGATCATGATCAGGATTTGGACGCAAAAAGGTACAAAACAAACCAACAAGAAAAAGAATAAAAATCTTATGTGGATACGGGAATCGATACCGATAGAAGAAAAAAAACTGTCTTTAAGTGGGTGTACGGATTACGCAGGATAAATTCAGTCAGAAAATACAAAGAATCAAAACCAAGTCAAGTATAAGCTCCTGTCGGTAAACTGCTCTTATTTGAAATCAGGAAAATACCCTTTATTTTTAAACTAGAGATTGCGTACTTTTAAAACTCTTCTGAATTCAAATATGACAAAATGTAAT